TGCGGGGGTGGGGGGGGGGCAGAGGCGGGGAACTGGGTAGTGGTAGTGGTGGGTGGGTGGGGGGGGCGGGAAAGTTTTGAGAGACTTTTTATGTAGGGCGCGGGGACACGACCCGCTAAAGGGGTAGCAAGTTCAGCACGGGTAACAATTGCGCGACTTCACCTCTGTTTCTCGTGGACTTGATTTTCGGCGAAATGATAAAAACGTAACGAAACGACAAACTGGATAAAATGGTGCGTACGAATTAGACCAATTTACGTTTAAGTTTAACTGTTTTCGTCTTCTTCTCCAGCTCCGTTACTAAAGTTGTCGCGACGTCTTGTATTGTCGTGCTTGTGAGGATGTTCCCCATCTCCTCCCCACCCCCTCCCCTACTACTCACTCCCAAACCGTGAGTATTACGCAGCGCGTAACGATCGAGAGGGAGGCGTCGACGCGGTTTTTGCGTTGCGAGCGGCCGTCGTTTTGTGAGCATCGCGAGTTTTGTTCGCGGGGTCTCCGCACCCCCCCCCCCCCTCTCTCGCGCGCGCCTCCGCCGCTTTTTGTTGCTCGACCGCCCGCTCGTGCCTCTTTTGTTGTTGTTGTTATTGTTGTTGTTGTCAAAACCCGGGAACGATGCAACGCGGGCGGTAGCGGTGGCGCACGTACAGCGGTAACACGCGCCAGCCATAACGCGCTCGTAGTAACACACCAGTGGTAGCACACACACCGGCTGTAACACACTAGCTGTAACACACACGAGTGGTAACACACCAGTGGTAACACACACCAGCTGTAACACACACCAGCTGTAACACACACCAGTGGTAACACACATACATACACCAGCTATAACACACCAGTGGTAACAGACACGAGTAGTAACACACACCAGTGGTAACACACACCAGCTGTAACACACACACACCAGCTGTAACACACACACACCAGCTGTAACACACACACCAGCTGTAACACACACACCAGCTGTAACACACACACACGCCAGCTGTGACACACACACCAGCTGTAACACACACACACACTAGCTGTAACACACACACCAGCTGTAACACACACACACACCAGCTGCAACACACACACCAGCTGCAACACACACATACACACCAGCTGTAACACACACACACCAGCTGTAACACACACACACACCAGCTGTAACACACACACACCAGCTGTAACACACACACACCAGCTGTAACACACACACCAGACAGCTGTAACACACACACCAGCTGTAACACACACACACGCCAGCTGTAACACACACACCAGCCAGCTGTAACACACACACCAGCTGTAACACACACACACCAGCTGCAACACACACACCAGCTGCAACACACACATACACACCAGCTGTAACACACCACACACACCAGCTGTAACACACACACCAGCTGTAACACACACACCAGTTGTAACACACACACACACACACCAGCTGTAACACACACACACCAGCTGTAACACACACACACAAGCTGTAACACACACACCATCTGTAACACACACACACACCAGCTGTAACACACACACCAACTGTAACACACACACACCAGCTGTAACACACACACACACACACCAGCTGTAACACACACGAGTGGTAACAAACACCAGTGGTAACACACACTAGCTATAACACACACTAGCTGTAACACACACCAGCTGTAACACACACCAGTGTTAACACACACACCAGCAGTAACACACACACCAGCTTAAACATACACACCAGTGGTAACACACTAGCTGTAACACACACACCAGTGGTAACACACGAGCTGTAACACACACATCAGTGGTAACACACACACGAGTGGTAACACACACACCAGCTGTAACACACACACACCAGCGGTAACACACTAGCTGTAACACACACACACACACACCAGTGGTAACACACGAGCTATAACACACACACATCAGTGGTAACACACACACGAGTGGTAACACACACACCAGCTGTAACACACACACACACCAGCGGTAACAGACAAGCTGTAACACACACACACACACACCAGTGGTAACACACCAGCTGTAACACACACACATCAGTGGTAACACACACGAGCTGTAACACACACACGAGTGGTAACACACATACCAGCTGTAACACACACACACACCAGCGGTAACACACTAGCTGTAACACACACACATCAGTGGTAACAGACACACACACACGAGCTGTAACACACACCAGTGGTAACACACGAGCTGTAACACACACACACCAGCTGTAACACACCAGCTGTAACACACACACACCAGCTGTAACACACATACACCAGTGGTAACACACACACCAGCGGTAACACACACACCAGCTGTAACACACACACCAGCTGTAACACACACACCAACGGTAACACACTCACCAGCTGTAACACACACACCAGTGGTAACACACAAACCAGTGGTAACACACACCAGCGGTAACACACATACACCAGCTGTAACACACACACCAATGGTAACACACTAGCTGTAACACACACACACCAGTGGTAACACACGAGCTGTAACACACACACATCAGTGGTAACACACACACACTAGCTGTAACACACACACGAGCTGTAACACACACCAGTGGTAACACACGAGCTGTAACACACACCAGTGGTAACACACGAGCTGTAACACACACACACACCAGCGGTAACACAGACACACACACCAGCTGTAACACACACCAGTGGTAACACACGAGCTGTAACACACACACACATATCAGTGGTAACACACACACTAGCTGTATCACACACACTCGAGCTGTAACACACACACACTAGCTGTAACACACAACAGTGGTAACACAAGAGCTGTAACACACACTAGTGGTAACACACTAGCTGTAACACACACCAGTGGTAACATACGAGCGTTAACACACACACATCAGTGGTAACACACACACACCAGTGGTAACACACACACGAGCTGTAACACACACCAGTGGTAACACACGAGCTGTAACACACACCAGTGGTAAAACACGAGCTGTAACACACACCAGTGGTAATACACGAGCTGTAACACACACACACATCAGTGGTAACACACACACACACACACGAGCTGTAACACACACACACACGAGCTGTAACACACACCAGTGGTAACACACGAGCTGTAACAGACACACACACACATCAGTGGTAACACACACACGAGCTGTAATACACACACACGAGCTGTAACACACACCAGTGGTAACGCACGAGCTGTAACACACACCAGTGGTAACACACGAGCTGTAACACACACACACACATCAGTGGTAACACACACACTAGCTGTAATACACACACACAAGCTGTAACACACACCAGTGGTAACACACGAGCTGTAACACAAACCAGTGGTAACACACGAGCTGTAACACACACACACACTAGCTGTAACACACACCAGTGGTAACACACACACACAACAGCTGTAACACACACACCAGTGGTAACACACAAACACAGTAGCTGTAACACACACACCAGTGGTAACACACACACCAGCTGTAACACACACATCAGTGGTAACACACGAGCTGTAACACACACACACACACACCAGTGGTAACACACGAGCTGTAACACACACACACACCAGCATCGCGCACGTCAAGTGAGCGACCTCACGCGGGGCTGACCCCGTTGCGCGCAGGGGTTAGCTTAGGGTCGGGACGTTGTAGGAGTCGCGGAGTACGAAGCCTGTGGGTTGTTTGCTGGTGGGTGGGTTGCTGGTGGGTGGGTTGCTGGTGGGTGGGTTGCTGGTGGGTGGGTTGCTGCTGGTGGTGGTGGGGGGGGGGGGGTTAGCAGGGCAGGCCCTGCTAGGCCGAGCGGTGACCGTGCGATCGCGATGCTGCCCCGGCTTCCGCTATCGTCTCCCCTTGCCGCCTCGTCACCCGCTTGGGACGCGTCGTGGCGCCTGCCGCGAGCGAGAGCCGCACGGACCGTTCGGCCTTCCCCGCCGTGCTGCGCGTTAGCCGTGTGGCCTCGTGTGCGCGGCCCGCTCCGGGACCGGCTGAACACGTGACGGCTCGCGCCAACGCTGCCGTCGCAGCCACGATTGCACGCGAATGGCGAAATGCGATATTAAAAAAAATATAACAAAAGGTTCCCTTAATCGACGCTCGTGCGTGGGCCTGGCAATGACTGATCAAAAAAGCGTGCGCGCATTGTGTTTGGTGGTGGGTGTGCAATGAGTAGACCGCGCGGAAGCATTCACACGCACAAGACAAAGATTCCTCCCCCCCCCCCGTATAGCCTTGACAGACTGTTGGGGCAAGTGCTGTTAGCGAGCACCTATGAAGGTTGGCACGGCACACGAGGAGGTGGGTGGCCAGCACCACGCCCGGCCGCCTTTGTCTCCCTAGTGGCGATGTTTACAGCACCACACATACGTAGACAAAGATACATAGACACATACATGCACACGCACATTTTTCCGCACATTATTAATTTCACGAGCACGCGTTACAAAATTGGGAATTCAATACACAACAACACACACTCAGAATTGATGGGTTATGAATATTTTTGAGATGATAATAATAACGTACAGATTATGGTGTATTTGTTTACACATTTTTTTACGTACTGTTTTAACTGTCTCCTATGTAAACATTTACGATTCGCAATCGAAACGGAATTCTCCCCGACGACGTGGCGATTGGCTTCTCTCTTTCTTTTTGCGCTCAATTCGGTGCGAATATGAAACGCGATCGCGAACCAACAACAACAACAACCAAACGACAATAAATAAATCCCCAGGAACGTGGCTCATTTTTCATCCCCCCCCCCGATCTCTTCGTATTTGTGCATTGCGGCCGTGGGCTGGCGCATTGAGCGAGGAGGCGCGGTGAGTGCGTGACCCAGGGGTGAGTGTGACGAGGGTGAGTCTTGCTGTTGTTGTTGACGCGAACTCGGACGCGTCGTCTTCTCCGCCCCGCGTTCGCGGCACCGAGGAATAACGACGCAGAGTGGGGAGCGGGCGAGCGAGCCACTTGACATTTGAGAAACACTTTATTTACGACGTTTGCTGTCGTTCTCTGTCGTTCGCTGCGCGCACGACGGATAGCCCCCCCCCCCCCCCTGCGCGTTCAGGGGGCACTCTTAAACGAATCTCCGTGGTCTAAAGTATCCCCGCGGCTCAGTCTACGTTGGCTCCTGGGTGCGTGCGCGCGCGTGTGTGTGTCTGTGTGTTGTGTCTGTGTGTGTGGCCGCCGAGCGGATTACTTGCAACGTTATGCAACGACATTCAAATGCCCAACCCTGTATAACACGAGACAAGAACCTTCCACCACGACGTCTTGCACCGCCGCCTCTTGTATAAAATGTAACAAATGCCGACAAAAGTGACGCTTAAAGAACAGTGAGAACCCGAGACAGCAAAAATATTTCGTACGACAGTCGGAGATGTTATATAAAAAAATAAATTACACCAACAATATAATTTACAACACAAGGGCAGCACCTATACCTACATAGGTTTTTTTTCTTCTTCTAAAAATGCAAGAATATATACATGGACAGAATTGTGTGGGTGTTTTTTTGTTCATATAATTAATATTATTGTCAATATTATAAGTATAGTACACCGCGTTCACATTAAACAAAAAATGAACTTTTCGTCCGAATTTTATTGCGTTTTACAAATAGTATATAAATACTGCACGTGAAGCCACAACATTTCACCTAAATGACATCCTGCAACACCAGGCGGGGCGATTTTGACACACGTCGAGAGAAGCTGCAACTTTAAAGCTGTGAATTAAATACGGAAATGTTTACGAGACTGGAATGAATGCAAACTCGCGTCAACGCCCCGATCCTTTCGCCGGTCTCGGCCGTCCGTGAACGGCGAGAAACCTCAGGAGCCCCCCCCCGCCCCGCGTCTGAGAGCAAGAAGTGGGGGGGGGGGGGGGGCACGCGGCATCGGAACCCGCGGACACCACCGACTCGAACGCTCGAGAGCGCCGCGCTCCCCGACTTCCCTTCCCCCCCCCCCCCCCCCCCCACTTAACACTGCGAAGCGCCCTGCGACACGGGGTTGGCAGGGGTGGACGAGGCTGTGTTCAATTTGACCTTGGTGTTGGGGAGTTTGTGGTCCTTCTTCCACTTCATGCGCCGATTCTGGAACCAGATTTTGATCTGGCGCTCGGTGAGGCAGAGCGCGTGCGCGATCTCGATGCGGCGCCGGCGGGTGAGGTAGCGGTTGAAGTGGAACTCCTTCTCCAGCTCCAGCACCTGCTGCCGCGTGTAGGCGGTGCGCGAGCGCTTCAGCTCCCCGCCGGTGTAGTTGGGGTTCACTGTAAACGTTTAAAAGACATCAATGGGCACCGCTACTACCCCCCCCCCCCATCTCGTTGCGAGACGGCTTCTCACCCCGTCGCCACCGCAAAACTCACGACGCGGCTACGACGCCTCGAACCGCAATGGCCCCCGCCGCTACGAACGCCTCTCTCTGAACCCCCTTTAGATTTTAGTTTTTTCTTTTACAAATCACAGCCGAGGCGCTATGGGTTTTTTTTGCGTGTTCCTTAACGCGCGTTAAAGGCTAACTTGTGGGTGGAGGAGACTTCAATGGGCAGAATTGCAAATGCCACATGGCCGACGGCGCAATTGCCGGCAATAAAAATTTATGGGGGGTGTAATTACCGGCCACCACGCAGGCTCCGCATAAATCTGGGGGGAAAAAAGGGCCCTTTGATGGCCCTCCGCCTTTCACAACAAAAAGCGCTGCCTCCCCGTCTCCACGCGGCTGTAAACACTCGTCCGCTTCCTCACCTGTGCTCACGTGGATCTTTTTCATCCACGGGTACACGACCGGCTGCTTCAGTGCCGCTCCTCCGTTCTGCTGCTGCTGCTGACTCTGCTGCTGCTGTCCGCCCGCGCCGCTCTGGCTACACACTCCCGATGCCAGCGCCGCGCCCTCCGATTCGCCGCACTCCTTGGAGCGGTGCTGAGCCGCTTGTCTCGCCTCGGGGCCGCGGCTCTGGGAGTCGGGCGGCCGGCGTGCCTGGCCGAGACCCCGGCCGGCGGCGGCGGCCGCAGCAGCCGCAGCCGCCGCCGCGGAGACGTGCAGGAGGCGCTCGCAGCTGTAGCCCGGCTCCTCGGGGCTGTAGTCGGTCGCAGACTCGTACAGCGCTTGGTGCGGCGGCGCGGGGAATGTCGGTGCGGGCGCCGGCTGCCCCCCGCCAGCGTAAAACTCAGCATCCTGCTCAGGGATGTAGCTGTTTTGCGAGTACTCCTCGCACGGAGGGAATTTGGGGTCCACATAGTTGGAGTTCATCAAGAACGAGCTCATGGCCATAAATTTCGGAGGGTGGAAAAATACTAATTTTTCTCGCGTTTGTCGTTTTCTGCTCCTAAATCCCTCCTCCGCCCGGGCAAAAGTGCAAAGTTGAGCGGTCACATGGCGCGCCCCGGCCAATAGCGCGGCGCGCGTCGGAGCGCGCCGACAAAACCTCGGATGATGAATGTCCTCAAAGTGGGTGATTTAGAAAATCCATCGCAGGCATTTGCACTTTTGGGAGGGCAAACTTGCGATTTTCACCCACGACTCGTTCGCGAAAAGGACTCGTGGCGCGTCTGGTCCTCCGCTCGACTCCCCCGCACGAAAAAACATCAGGGCACACTCACGCGGCGTAGGGAGCGCAACGCGTGAAGGTAGGAGGGCGCCTTTCTCTTGAAACGCATCCAAGCTACTCCTCCGAGACGCGGAGCAGGCCACGGGTAGCGGGTATTGCACCCCTTTCTTTGTGCGCTGCAGGAATCCACCGCCCCCCCCCCTTGTAGGAGCCTCGTGCGCAGTGCCTCGCGCCCCCCCCCCACTTCTCTTAGGGCCCCCCCCCCCACTGCCGAGCCCCCCCCCCCGGCCCCTCTCACAGGAGCCGTAGAGCCGCGATGGTCCCCGCGTCTCCACGAGCCGAGTCCTCCATCTCTCCTCGTGAACGCAGACCGCGTTAGTAGCTCGGGCCGGGCGGTTTACCGCGGACTGTATCGAGACTGTATTGATGGGTAATGGTACGCCATGCAGATCTTGTGGTGTCGGCTTAACGTGGCGTAGACTGTTACATTTTAATAATAATAATAATAACAACTTAAACGAATGCTTTACAGTGGTTCGCGTCATTCGTAATGAAGGGGAATTAAGGTCAAGCATTTGCATGACAAAAACTATAACGGGGTGACTCAGGGTAAAAAAAATGCACAAATTGGGGGCAACCTCAGGGCTGCCCAGCGCGACAAGGAGACGCCCAACACGACAGCAGGGAACGTTCATTGTCTTGATTTACAACGATTGTTTGCAGAACCGCGTCCACCCCGCGAGTCGCCCGTCCTGTATTTTGATTTTGATGGCGCGGGGGGTGGGTGGTGGTGGTGGTGCGGTGCTGCGGAAGAGGGGGGCGGGGGGGGGGTAAATTCTGGGCGAGAAACAGCGGCGGTGGTAGCCGCGGCGAATTTTCGCAGGTTCCAAAATCCAACATGGACGTTCCGCACCCACCCCCAGCAGCAGCTCCCCCGTTCGACTCCAGACTCTCCGCTGTTGCACAGGAGGTGACTATGTAGTCCTTAAGAATCGAATTTGTGGATTCCAGAAGCCAGCACAAATTCGAGTCCACAGGGTATACATCGGCCACCCTTATCAGCGGGCACGGCGCGAGAACGCAATGCGTCTCCCGACGGCGGGACGGCAGACAACTAGATTTCGGGTTTGGGGGGCTGTAAGCCCCGCGAGGTGTGGGTTTCATTCGCTCGACGGCCACCTCCCCCCCCCCCTGCCCCCCCCCCCCTCGGTGCCATTTCGTTCATTCGCTCGCGGGGTAACGCAGCCTCGAATGAAATTCATGGCTGCGTCCACACGGGCGGTGATGGTGATAGCGTTGAGTCATCGTAGATTGTTGACAACTCAGAGCGCGCGGGTTGTGGGAAGGAGGGGGGGGGGCATGATAACGCGACCCGCGCTGCTCGTCTTGCCGGAGATGTCTGACTACAAATATCTAAAGCACCCTCGTCAAGGTTCGCCCGAATAATTACAATGGTACGCCCAGACGTAATTTTGGCAAGAAGGGACAGTTTGGTGCTTGCGCGTGAATAATAACTGTGTTTGCCTTTGTGTCTTCATAGCGTGTGTCTGTCTCTTTGGTTTGGACGTGCCCGTAAACATATTTGTGCGTACACTGTTGCGTATATATCGTGTACGTATGTGTGTGTATTTTTTCTGCTTGGACCGTCTTTCCTCTTGTGCGCGTGTCTTTCGTTGCTTGTCTCTCGTTGTGCAAACGCGTATCTGTCTGTGTGCGTTGTGTGTGTCTGTTTGTCTTTGTCTATCTGGCTTTGTGTGTGTGTCTGCGTGTGTCTGTCTGCGTGTTTGTCTGTCTTCGTCTGTGTACAAAGCCTGCCATTTAGGTCGACCATTTGTCTGCTTTTTTGTGTTTAGTCTGTTGTGTCCCCCCCCGCACCTCCGATGAGCACGGTTGGCTACGTACGGTGCGAAAGAAGTTCGACGTACATACAGACAGTCGTGGACGCGCGCGTCTCTCTCGCTCGCTCGCTCTCACGCGTAGATGTACGGCGGGTGCCAGCATCATAATGGGAAGAGGTCAGGGCAGAAGGGAGTCGTAACGAGTGCATAATGAATAATTCCTTTAGCACGCCGAGAGCTTTACGAGCTCCACGGCCCCGCCGCCTTGATAAGCGAAGGGCGGTGCGCGGAGAGGGCTGCCCGCTCGCCCCGCTCGCTCGCTCGCTCCGCCGGAGATAAAGCGCGCTCCGTGGCCAAAAGTTCAGAGCGCGTCTCATCTCCCGGGCGCGCCTTGGACATGACCCCGCGCTCTGTGCACGGTGGCTGCGTGCGTCCTTTGTGTGCGCGACCGTGTCGTGTCGCGTCGCTCAATGAGACCCGCATGTTCCGCCCGGGGGGACGACGACAACGACGACTCCCACCTCCGACCCCCCCCCCCCCCAGCCACGGCTTCCTCCGGCGGCGCAACCGTGCGCCCTGCGGTGGACGTGGCGTGAGGAACCGTGGGGGGTGGGGGGGGGTACCCTGGGACGAGCGAGCGGGGCACCGCATTCATGCGGCGCCCATCGGCACGTGATCAGAAAGACGCCGCAATTAATGACCGAGGCGACAGGCCTCGCGGGGAGGAAGGTGGCGGTTCAGGTAACCTACAGCCCGTGTCTCGTGCTGCTCACTCCGTTGTCCGTCTCGTTGTGTTTCTTACAGGGAGCGGCGCGCGGCCACGGCAGGACGCGCTTTTTTGTGTCCAGTTGCCACGGGCTCACAGCTCCGCGTGCCCCCCCCCCCCACCCCCGCTTCACTCCACCTCCTCCTCCACCCGACCTGCTCCGCTCCCCCCACTGCACGAAGGAGCACCCCGGTTTCACGGGCCGAGGTGACGGCCACTGAGCGCCGAGCGTGTCGACCTCATCATTAACCCTCGCTCGTGACCTCTCCAATTAGCACGGCCTCGTGTTTTTTTTTACCGATTTCGAAAGCGTGCGCGCGTGCGTGTCAGTTATTATGCGAGTTGCTGCTTCAGTGGATTTCACGATGCATAACAGACTTAAAGCTTTCGTGACTGCAGGAATTTATATTCTTTGGTTCTTTCGGTAAAGTCACGTAGATAGAAACGTCGTGATTTTTTAAAATCATTTTATTATTTTTCTATCTACGTTACTTTACCGAAAGAACCAAAGAATAAGAAGACGCATAACAGATTCGTTCAAAAAATAAATAGGGGATTTTAAATTTAATGTCGGAGAGAATGGAGAAATCTCGTGTGTATTTATATATGTGGGTGTATGTATGTCATGGGGAGCGGCAGTGCAGCGGTTAGCGTGATGCGCTACGAACCTGGCGACTCGTGTTCGATTCCCGCTCACGGCCAAAATCAGTGACGATGAATCGGAACCGGTCCTGGGCCTTTCCCTCGGTCGATTCAGCCTCAAACGGCTAACTCGTGCAGCGTGTAAACATCGCCACTGGGGGAGACAAAGGCGGCCGGGTGTGGATCTGGCCACCCCAAGCCCTCGTGTACCGCGCCGGTCTTCGTAGGGCGCTCGCTAACAGCACTATTCTCAACAGTCTGTTGAAGGCTATACGGGGGATCTGTGTCTTTGTTGCACACGTAGACACGCGCCCGTTGTATTCGCGGTGGAAATTAACAGAGATTTAAAAAAACCCGAGAGCCACATCTACGATGGGAATCGGGGTCGTTGCGGGAACAATAACGAAATATTATTTTGTTTCCTTCCCAGCTGATCAGTGGGGGAGGGGGGGGGGTCATGGCCCTGTGATTTGAACGGCGACATTGTTGTCACAAATTACGATTATTTTTTTAAACCTCGAAAGCTTTAAATGGCCCTCTGGGCTATTTGCGCGTGCATGCAGACACACACACATATATATGTATGTGTGTGTGTATATGGGAGCGTACTTTATTGCTCATTTAATTACCGTGTTATAAATCCTTAGCCAAACTTTAACCGCGTGTGTGTTAATCAATGACCGGCGCACAGCACGGACGCCAACGCAGCGCGGATGTCCCGCATCTATTCGTAGCGCGAGTCGCGGCTTCCTGTGCCCGGTCGGCACTGACCCCCCCCCCCCCGTAAGTTATTTTTTTGTTTGTTGCTGCTTTGTTCTTTCTGTAATAAACCCGCAACTGTCGCCCCCCCCTCCTAAGCCTGCTGCTGCGAGTGGTATCGGACTGCCCCCCCCTCTCGCTGTCTCAACGTCGTCGTGAGGTGCCGTAGCCGAACGCGTCTCAACCCGAGGCGCCTCGCGCGCGCTCGACCGATTGTTCGTTTGCGCGCGGCTCCACGCAACAACAACAACAACGACGACGACAACAACAACAACCCAAACGCAACCCACCCGCACACAACGCTCCCCGGTGACGTCTATCTACGGCTCATGCGTGACATAGCCAGAATGTTACGTCTCGCACAACAAGATCGTCCCCCCACCCCCTCCCCACAACAACAACAATAACCTGCGTCCACATCCCCAACAAACAAACAAATAAACGAAAATCGCGACGGCTCTCAAACGCAACGTGGTCTGTGTGCGAGCGCTCTTGCAGAGGCGCTCGACTCGAGCCCCGAACCGCGCGTCCCGCTTTCGATTCATCGTCGCACGCAAAAAAAAAGCCATCCGGTGTGGGTGGAAATCGTTAATTTCCTCGCTCTCCTATCTCGATTTCCTTCCAAACTCACACGCCTGTGTGTGTGTGTATACATTGTTACACAAAATAGAAAAAAAATATCGAAGCCCGGTTGTGACAGCGGTGGCGACGCGGGCAAAAAGCCTCCGATAAGGAGCAGCAGCGGTAGGAGCGGGAAGAGGAGGAGGAGGCGTCGCTCGCTGTTGGCTTTTCTCAAGCGCTGTGCAAGCGGCGCCGAGCTCGGATAACCGGCGCAATAGCGACATGGCGCGGCTGTACGGGAACTCGCAACGCCACCGCCACTCCTCGTGAGCGCTCCCATCCCGCCTCCCCCTCCTCCTCCCTTCCTGTGCCCGCCGCCTCGCGTGGCCGCGCGGCCATGCAGCGCTGCAAAGCGCTCGGTTAACATCGTGAGCCGGGAGGTGTTCCCGTCGATTTTCGCAACGACAACACCGCATGCGCAAGCCTCACGGAGCAGGGCGACTATGATGATGATGATGATATTTTTGTTGTCGTTTCTCGCGAAATGGCAACGATGGTTAACGCGACGTGCACGCTGCGAAGACAGATGCGTTAAAATGGCGCGCGCGATTTTGTTCTTTACGTTGTGTCGAAGAAAGCCCGTAAAATGTACCGGGTTGCTCAGCCATCGATTGTGTCGTTGTTGGTTGTTGTTGTTCTTCATTGTTATTACGATTCCCCTCGACCGCAGGGGTTTGCTCGGCGCGATTAATTTACGTGGCAGGTGATGTCCGGTATTAGTTGTAAATATATATGTATAATAATGTATAACGAGTTGAGTCGCTGGACGGGGGGCACTTAAAGAGACGGTGTGATTATTTGAATAGGAATGCATGAATAAATGAACGACTTTAAAATTGTCACTTTTTTATTGAAACCCTCCTCGTGTGCGGAATATGACGCGTGCTGATTGACAACGCAGCCCGGACATCACGGCGCGCATCACGGGAAACACTACAGCAGCAGCACACACACAAACCATTATAGCCTGAACGGACTGTTGGGGCAAGTGCTCTTAGAGAACAGCACCTATGAAGGCCAGCATGGCACACGAGGGGGGTGGGGGTGGTCAAGACCACTCCCGGCCCTATTTGTCTCCCCCAGTAGGCTGATGTTTTATACACACCGCACCAGGTATTTATTCGAGCCCGAGTCGACTTAGAGGAGGCCCAGGACCGGTTCGGATAACTGTCGCTGATGATAGCCGTGAACGGGAATTGAACTCTGGTGGCCGGGTTCGTAGCGCAGCGGTAGCGCTCCCCAATCGCAGCTCAAACACAAACCCACACGAACACACACAAACTCACACAAACACACACAAAAAGATGAAGACCAAGATCCTCCGTATAGCCTTACCAGACTGTTGAGACAAGTGCTGTTCGCGAGCACACACAAGCATATACACTCACACACACACAGACCGCGGTAAGTACACACACCGTACTGTTTGAAGCGCTCAACAATAACCGCTCATAAAGCACGCGGGGCCATCAGCACCTCGCGCGTGCTGCACTCAAAAGGTTCCCCCCCCCCTCTCCTCGCAAGTTGTCACTCTAAATAATAGAGCAGATAAATAGACGTGAATTCCACACTTAGGAATTACACACGCACGCGCGCGCGAGACACACTCTGGCAGAATATGCCCGCGCATAAAGTATAATAAAAATGTGTACTGTAAATACAGCGCGGTTGTAATTTAGTTGCGGGCTGCGTGTCGTGTAAACCGTTTAGGGATGTTTTATTTTTCTCGCGAGCTACGCGATAGAGGCTCGGGCGCCGCGTCGCGCTCTGATTTACTCCTCCGTCTCCGCGCACCGCATTGAAGTTCAGAACGCTCGGGGAAGAAAAAAAAGACGCAGAGGGAGAGAGACACGCTGTGATGGTGATCGTAGGATGATGACAACGACGATGATGATGAGAGCGGGAGGAGTCTGGCGGTGGTAGTAATGATGAGCAGAGTGAATCGTTAATGAGGGCAGCCTCGCCCCGATTGCGTGACCCTTCTGTGACCCCGAGGACGAGACCGCGCGCGCCTCACGCGGCACGGAGCCTGCAGGATAACTTCTACAGCTGCACCCTCATCGACAACTGCACCCTCATCTACAGCTGAACACTCATACACACTCGCAGATGCATACACCTATAGCTGTGTGGATGGCTGATACACACACCCGCATATACGCACCTACCTCCGAATATACCTCTGCATTTCCTTTCAAGTACACACCCGTACAGCTGCATTTCCGCCTGCACCCACCTATAAGATGCACCCTTACCTCCAACTGTATTCGCACAAACAGCTACACACACCTACAGTCACCCATGCCTGTATCTGCACCCCACCCTATAAAGACAAAGACGCCCCTTACAGCCTTTAATAGATTGTTGGGGCAAGTTCTGTCAGTGAGCGAGCACCTATGAAAGCCGACACACACGAAAAGACAACGTTCCCCCGTATAGCTTTAACAGACTCTAGGGGCAAGTGCTGTTAGCGAGCACCTATGAAAGCCGGAACGATACACGAGGGGGTGGGTGGCCAGCTACACCCCCGACCGCCTTTGTCTCCCCAGTGGCGATGTTTACCCACCGCACCAGGTACTCATTTCAGGCTGGTGTTGGCCGTGAGCGGGAATTGAACCCAAATCGCCGAGTTTATAGCGCAGGGCGCTAACCGCTACACTACCGCTCCCCACTACACACACACACAAACGCGTCTGTGTAGCCCGCTCGTCAGTCGATGACGTTTCCCCTGTAACTTTACTCGCGGATGGTTTGTGGAGTGGGGGGGGGGGCTCAATGGGAGCGAGAAGGAGGAGGGGGGGTCTCTATTTTTAGTCCCTGTCACCGCATGGTCTCGCTCCGCGGCGCGCGCCCACAACACTCGCGAGTCGAATGCGGGCGGGCGGGCAGGGCAGGGCAGGAGTTGTGGGTCCGGCTCACGGATATTCAAGAAGCCACTGGGAGCCCCTTCCACCCACCTCCCCTCGGTACCTCCGATGAGCACGGTAGGGCTACGTACGGTTGCGAATAAAGTTCAACACACGTGTGCATACAGTAACACACACATACGTGGACAACGTCACGACTCTGTGCGCCCACGAGACTCGCCCGCTCGGTGGCCCCCGTCAGCGGCGAACCACGCCCCCACCACCTCCCCCCACCACCCCCGTATTAAATGCCATCGCCCACAAGAAACGATGAACATACAATGCGCACAATCATCGCGGCGTACGCGAAAGGGGAGGAAAAAAGTCGAACAACAACAGCAACAACAACAAAAATCCAAGCAGCGGGGGGAGGGAGGTGGGGTTGTCGGCGACTCATTTGCGCCAAACGTCCACGTGTGTGGAGTTTGCGGAGGGGCCTGGAGAGTCATCGCGGGGACCTGCACCGTAAGGGCTTGGAGCGTCGGGTCGCTCTTGACGCGGTGCGGTCTCACGCGCGCGCGCGCAATCGCCACGGGGGGAGGGGGTGGCGCTGGCGGTGTGGTGGATGGGGTGGTGGTGGTGGATGCAATTCTGGAGACATTCATCTGCGGTGAAGGCTGATAAAACGGTGACGTTAATGTCAGCAATTAGCGATGGAGGCCGTCAGGACACGCGGCGCGAGGTGTCTGGGGAGGGAGCACGTGAGGTGCGGGCTGGTGGGGAGGGTGAGGGAAGAGGAGGATGGGGAGGGGGTCAGGGTTCAACAGATCGAGACCACAAGTGAGAGTAGGAACGTTGGCGGATGAATAACGCCGTGGAATACCACAGATAGACGGCAAACGCGACCAGCACAAGTGATACAAATGCGAAAATTGGGACGACGAAGAGAAAACCCCATCAACACAACGGCGCAATCAACACAGCGGCATCAACACACACAACGGCGCCATCGACACACAAACTGCGCCATCGACACACAAACGGCGCCATCGACACACAAACGACGTCATCGACACACAAACGGCGCCATCGACACACAAACGGCGTCATCGACACACAAACTGCGTCATCGACACACAACAGGGCCATCGACACACAAACGGCGTCATCGACACACAAACGGTGTCATCGACACACAAACGGCCCCATCGACACACAAACGGCGCCATCGACACACAAACTGCGTCATCGACACACAAACGGCCCCATCGACACACAAACGGCGTCATCGACACACAAACGGCCCCATCGACACACAAACGGCGCCATCGACACACAAACTGCGTCATCGACACACAAACGGCGCCATCGACACACAAACGGCGTGATCGACACACAAACGGCGCCATCGACACACAAACGGCGTGATCGACACACAAACGGCGTCATCGACACACAAACGGCGCCATCGACACACAAACGGCGTCATCGACACACAAACGGCGTACAGTTGGAGGGGCAAGCGACAAATGAGCGATAGGGAATTAAAACAACGACAACGGTCAACCACGGGGAGCGAAAGATGAACGCGCGCTGTTGAGTTTATAAGACTACGGACGCCAGACGGACTTGTGGCGCATAGAGGTTCGCTATGAGTCGTAGAGTTTAACACGTGGGGCTTTCGCGACCAATATCATCCATATCCACCCCCCTCCCCTATATTTTGGATGAATAATAGAACGCGACGCACCGAGCGGAGCAAGGCACGGAGCATATAAGCAAAGGCCGCCAGCAGCCCCGTACACACACCGATTCGGGCCCCACGATACAATCGGAGGCCTTCGCGCGATGACAACGACGCAACATTTGCTCGCGGCAAAAATCATAAATGGCCCAAAGCCGTCTCGACGCGAATCGAATCGGAACGGTCAACGCAACACAATCAGAACGCAGCGCGAGCGGCGCAAATCGATAGAAATCAGCGCGGACGTCGCAATACAATCGACGCGATCGATGGCGCCGTCGATGCAATCAGCGCCACGCATAGCTCACGACATTGCAATAAATCCAACGGAGACGATAGCACACGATAGCACGCGATAGCGCAATCGGGAATTCGCTCGCACGAAACGACGACGCAGACTGTCTGTCGTCGTACGACTGACTGTAAGCGGTAGCTGATGACACAGACAAAGATGCCCCCCCCACCTCCCACTGTGTAGCCTTGGCAGACTGCTGGGGCAAGTGCTGTTGGGCGAGCACCTATTAAGGTCGGCACGGTACACGGCGAGGTGAGGTGGCCAGCAAACCACCCGCGGTCGCCTTTGTCTCCCAAGCGCTGATACTGTACAACACCATTGCAGGCGCTCGTTTTAGGCCGAGCCGACCTAGTGGATGCCCAAGACCTGGTTCAGATAATCATCACCGGTGCTGGCCCTGAGCGGGAATCGAACTCGAGTTAGCCGAGGTTTTTAGAGCAACGCGCTAACCGCTGCACTACCGCTCCCGATGCAGACAAAAAAAGACAAAGATTCCCCGTATAGCCTTAATAGGCTGTTGGATATATGCTGTTGGGGCAAGTGCTGTTAGCGAGCACCTCTGAAGCCGGGCACGGCACACGAGGTGGGATGGGTGGCCAAACCACGCTTTTGTGTCCCTAGTGATGGTGTTTACCCACCACACCAGGTACTCATTTGAGGCTGAATCCAATAAAAGACACACATACACACGGACGGACGCGGAGCAACTGTTACTTCACAGCTGACTGCTGTTTCGTAACCGTCTCTCGCCTTTCACGTCGGATATAGACGGGGCGCGTCACTCGCTCACTCGCTCAACTGGGGGCGCGCGGGTAGATTTTAGCTGTTGGCACGGACTCAAGAAATGCGGGGAAATCGCACGCGTCGCGGGCACGAGTCTCAACTCGGACGAAGGAGGCGTGCGCTGGACGCGATGAAGACAAAGGCGCGTGCGCGCGCGTACGTGTGTGTGTG